ATTCATCTCCATCTTATACGACATCCCTGTATTCTAAATGTGCAATGTTTCTAGTCAGAGTTTAATCCGTTATTATATAGGGACATGACAGAATATAGACATGTGGCTAAGTGATTAGAATGTTAGCTTTCTGACTATGAAACTCGGGTTCGAATATCATCATAGTTGATTTGTCAGGAAGGTGACTTTGTGATGTTATTGAACTCATGGAGGTGATCCAAATGTGTGGCGCCTTTGGAAAGTACCTGAAAATGATACGATGGGTTGATCCAAGCTTTGTAAGTAAAGTTGCACAGAACAAACTATTTGGGAGTTGTCGATGCTTATGTTAGCACAAAGTCAGAAGTCATCATGACTGAGGGTCTGAGTATACTAGCCTTGTTCAAACTTTTGATCATGCCAGATAATGCACTCTTTCCCAGAAACTGTATCAAAAGTCTGTTCAGCACGGTTGCAGTATAAAACCACATGTGGGCTCCATGGGTATTGAACAAACCCAAATGTGCTTGATCAAACATTTGCAATAGGGATTGGCTGCTCTAGCAGACAAGTGTACTAGGATATGAGTGGCCAGTCATTACTATAATCGCCTATTGTTTACAGTACCTGGTATTTCTAAGCTGTCCCCCATCTAAGTACTGACCAGACTTGATGCTGCTTAACTTCAGTGATCAAATGAAAGTGGTGCTTTCAGCATAATTTGATAATAAACAATATTATATCTTTATAATTTGATCTTGATTATCTGGCACAACTAGTATATATTCAATCAATTCTACCTGTGATAACATGGGGAAGATAGCTCATTTGATGTTCACTTATGTTTCTGTTCTCTTTAAATTCAGCTAAAATCAAATGATAATTTCAGATTACAATTCCTGTATGTATGATTCTTGTTTTTTCTTTTAGAATGAAATTTATGGAAACAAAGGAGATGAAAATGATTTCAAGGCTGACAGATTAAAATCAAAACTTTTTTATGAAACTGACAGTGAGTTAAATTTTCTTGGTGTTTAAATGCAAAGAGCTTCATATAAAAAATATATATATATATTTGTCCATCAATGCATTTCAAACTAGAAAGAATAATCTTATTTGTTAAGTCACTTTGTATGTAATTTGTTTGTCAATATACAATATGAAGGCACAGATTAGTTTAACATCAACACAAAATAGTTAGAAAAAAAGATATTTTTTAAGTGAATCCCTATCTGCTAAAACAACACTTATCAAATGTGTTTATATTTAGTTACATCATGAGAAATATGAATTTATCTTGCACAACAAATATTTCTAAGTTAGGAAACTTATTATTAATGGGGAATATTAATTAAAGATATATATATATATATATATATATATATATATATATATATATATATATATATATAGTAGAAAATCTCTGATCAAAATTAATATCTACATTCAGGCTATGTACTTACTTATACATTCTTTTTCACATCTGTCTGTTTCTCTTTTTCTTTATGTATATAATCTCTCTTTCTCTCTCACTCTCTCTCTCTCTCTGTATATATATATATATATATATATATATATATATATATTATTGAAAAACATTTTTTCTTTCCATTTGTTATAGTAATTTAAATTACTTTTAAAATGCCATATAAATTTCCCTATTCCTTTTATTATATATATATATATATATATATATATATATATATATATATATATATATATATATATATATATATTTCATTTATTTAAAAATTATAACATAAATATGTTAGAAAATCTGCACTTTTTAAGAATAGTAATTGTTGGTTATTGGAATTTATTCCGTATACACCAATCATATACTTGTGTGTGTATATATATATATATATATATATATATATAAAATATCAATTGATAATTAGTACGGATAATTCCAAAGAGGAGATTAATCCATTTTAATATTAAATTTTTTTTCGTTTTCTTTTTTCCTCTCCCTTTTCCTTTTGTCTGGATAGATTGACTCCATTTATCAAAAAATTTTGGTCTGAAATATTTGTCTATTCATGAAATAAATTATAATCAGATGGATTTTTATGGATCATCTGTACTCATATAATAAAATATAGTTTTAAGTTATGCTATATTTATTGAATAAAAGGGGCTGCATATCAGAGATAGATCGTATATAAATATAAAAGTGAACACTGAGGTCAACAACAAGCAATAACCGTTTGTTGCAGGCTTTATTGCCAAGGCCTGAAGTTTACATTGAAGCATGAAACAGACTTTTATCACTTTACCTCAGTCTTCACACACACACACACACACACACACACACACATATAGTCGACTCTCCTGTCAAGTTCGACGTATGAGGGTCAAGCAGATCAGTTCCCAGGAAATGAGATTTGATTATAGTGGTGAAGGTTTCGTGCAGGACCAGCCACACTTTTTGAAGGGCTGAATTCAGAGACCTGGTGCACTACGTGCCACAAGGTCCCCAAACGACCCTCTGCAAGTTTTGAATTCAGAGTTGTCCTTCTCCTAGACCAGTTGCCATCCAAGGCTATAGAACCCAGTCTGTCCTGCTATATACCTATAGCTGGAGGGAGAAGAAGAGGAATCATACCTTTCCCAAGGGTATTAGCACGTAAGTGAGTGTAATGGATTCGACTGGAATTCAAACTCAGCTCTGCAATTCCTCAATCCAAGCCACTATTATTACTTAAATGTTATTTTTACTGGATACTTTTACTTGAGTAGACACTTCGTTTATTTATTAAAATTTTATTATAAATTAAATTTATGATGAGCATGTAGCTAAGTGGTTAGATTGTAATTGTTTCAACCATGAGGTCTAGGTCCAAATCTCACCATCCATTGCCAATTTGTCACGGACCTAACTTCTTGAAATAACCCACTGGGATGCTGATCTCTGCATGCGACATCACTGTGTAGTGCCTGAAAACCATAAGAAGTTTACACCCAAGACACTTTTAAATTAAACAAGAACACATCAGTTTCACAATGGGAAGAATGAGGGTCTAGAGAATTTAAAACTAACAGGACATATTTAAGATAAATGAAGCAGAGTGGAAACAATGAATAACCTACTTAATGAGTAATTGTAAATGTAAAGCAGAAGAGGGATGAGGAAGGATAATAAAGAGCCAACTATTAATTAGAGCAGCAAAAGAAAAAACAAAGAAAGTTGTGGAGAACCATCGTCACTTACATCTTAAAAAAGGACTCATCATATAATAATCATATATTTATTTTTATATGAACGATTAATTCTTTCAATGAATATTCTGTGGTATTTATGCCGTATATTTTAACACTCCTTTTCTCACCCCCATTACTTTTGTCCTCCTTTATATTCTACCTCGATTGAACCAGGTGGGCTGATGGGGATTTTTCAATCAAGTTCTAACCTGTCTGAAACAAGGATTACAATTTCAAAATGGAATAATTATTTACTTTGAAACACAAAGACTATAAGAGAATTAAATGTTTTCCACTTCAGATTAGAATTACTGTTTCAGTCTTCCTATTATAAGAGTACTTTTTGGTTTGTTTAAATTTTGAGCTTATCTACTGTTATCACTATTTTACTACTAGTTCAATAAACTACTAAAATACAACTTGTTTTGCCTGTGAAAAATGTAAACATATATGTGAGTTTACATAATTACATACAAATCAGTTACCTAAAGAATGTTGCAGGTGGTTTGTTGGCCTGCAAACAGATATAGATTGATAGAAGACAACAGAAAGCAAAACAAAGACTTGAGTCAAATAAATATATTGACAAGTTTATTTTCATTAAAAAAAATACAGTAACAAAAATAAGGTTACAGTGCACTGGGCAATAATATCTAAGCATGTTCATTTAGAGGATGAGAAAGACAGTTTTGGTAGTTATTGAAAAGCATTGTCTTGAAAAGACAGTTTTCTGGCTGATGGGAATTGTGGTTCTGAAAAGGACATTCAATTGGATATCATTGCTCTTTGCAAGGATGGCTGACTGGCTGGAGGGGAAGGTGATGATCATGGTCATTCATAGAGTGTGGGCCAGCTGTCTGCTGCAGGAAAAGTGTTATTTTATTTTTTTTGTCTACTTTATTAATCAATCTCACCCTGGGTATATATATATATATATATATATATATATATATATATATATATATATATATATATCTATATATATATATATATATATATATATATATATATATATATATATATATATATATAAATAAAAGTGAGCATTGAGTCAACACTCAGAGGCGACAGGCTGTTTCATGCTAGATGCAATCATCATGCTGCCTGACGATTGCATTTAACATGAAACAGCTTGTCACCTCTGAGTATTGACTTCAATGTTCAATGTTATATTTACATATGCTCTGTCTCTGATATTGAGCACTTTATCCCATAAATATAGCACACCTTAAAACTATATATATATAATCACTATTGTGTATTGAGGCAGTAATCCCTTAATTATACATGTTTCATTAAAGATGACAGACAAGACAATGTGATCATTTAATTTTCCTTGTGTTTGAACAAGGGTTTTCTTTTTGGGACACACAGTGTGTAGAAACTGTCCAAATATTCTGTAATTCTGAGAACTTTCAGCTATACCTTTAGCAATTATCTTGGATGATTTTATTTTTGCTTTTTAACTGGATGTATGGTTTGTGTGTATGTATCTAGGATAATAGGGATGTTTTATTTTCTGAAAACAGTCAGCATATTGTGGCCATGTTCATATTTAATCTTATTGAGTGTTGGCTTTTTCTTTTTTCATAGCCACAATAACACTACAGCATAGAGCAAGTTTTCATGTACAAAAGACTCTTTTTCTACATCACCACCATGACTGGTTATATAGTTTTCCCAGCAATGAACAAGAGCTTTCATGCTGTACTCATAAAACTATGCACCATTGGAAGCCACCTAATTTCTCACACATGTCGCTGGTACCACAGCTCGAGTGCATCAGTTATTATCTCATTGTTTTTGCATAAGTGAAATTAAGAGAATAGACTCAAAGGAGAAAAACAGAAAGAAAATAGGAAGGAAGGAAGAATAGAAAATTGGATCAAAGATGATGAATAATTAAAAACAGTGGAAGATGGAATAAATCCTGGATGGAGAGACGAAGAATTAAATTGACAAACAAGAAAGTAATAACAAATAAGGGACTTGTTGTGATGTCTTCTACTCTGTGACATAAAAGTTCTCCCTCTGTGCCGAATGATGACTGACTTATTAGTAGTTGCCCAACTGTATACAGAATAGAACAAGTCCATGTTGTCACTAGACTTCCTGGTTCTTTTTAAGCTGATTTAGATTTGTACTTCATCTTCATTCTGATCTTCCAACTCCATATCAGATTTGTGGGAATTATCCTCCACAGTATCTTTTACTATTATGTTCACTTTCTCCATCTTGTGCTTTCCTTCTTTTCAGGTTTCTCCTCTTTTTTCATCTTGATTTCTTTGTTATCAATTCTAGGTCTTATATAATTTGAATGAGCCAATAAATTTTGTACACTTCTTCCTATTATAGTCGTATTACGTCCCCTTTGTGCAATAAAGTTAGCTTTTTCAGGACCTTTTTTTTTTCTATCACATTTTTTATTTGTTGAATAAAAAATTGTATAGGGGATCTAACTTGTCTTCCCATCAATGCAAAGGGACTTTTAAATTTGACTGATTCCATTTAAATTAACTATTCTTTTTCCATAACCCCACAATGAGTTCTATCAATTAACTATACATATATCTTCTATAAAAATTGCCTAACCCTGAAAAAGGTTGCAGTTCTTTTTTATTTTAGGTGTAGATACTTGTGCTGTTTTCTTTATCAAATTTGGTCTGTTGAAATTCCATATTTGGAAATCTGCTATCCCAGATATGTTATTTTGTTACAATTTAACACACCTTTATTCTGGTTTATGGTCAACCCAACATTTTTTAATTTGTTTAAATCATAATCTTTTTTTTTTGTTTTAACTCTTCTCTACTGGTAACACCAAAATATATATTATCTTGAAAGAAGATCATATTCTTAATATAACCAGTTAAATTTTTAATGGCTGTTTGAAAAATAACACTTGCTGTTTTTACACCATAAGGCATATGCTTCCATCTGAGTAAACCTATTGTAAAGTTAACCCCTTGCTTAGTGGCTGTATTGCCTTGTTTGGGATTAAATGAGTAAAATGAACATTACATAGTATAATAATATAATTATTTTTATATATTAGCTGTTATGTTACATTGAGCACTGTTTTTTTTTACTACCAGCACTCACTGCGTAATATTTTGCTTTTATATTTTGATAGTTAGATAAATAGATATATTAACATAAACAGACTGAGATAGATAGATGAACATTAACAGACTGTGATAGAAATTAACAGACTTAGATAGTTTAGATAAACATTAACAAACTGTGATAGATAGATAGATAGATAGATAGATAGATGAACATTAACAGATTGTGATAGATAGATAGATGAACATTAACAGACTGTGATAGATAGATGAACATTAACAGACTATGATAGAGAGACAAAAAGATGAACATTAACAGACTGAGATAGTTTAGATAGATAAACATTAACAGATAGATGATCATATTCTTAATATAACCAGTTAGTTAATTTTCAATGGATCTTTGAAAAATAACACTTGCTGTTTTTCCACCATAAGGTATATGCTTCCATCTGAGTAAGCCTATTGTAAAGTTAATCATAGTGACCACTTTAAATTTCTCAATTTGTATTTGGCTATAGGTAGATTTGAATTCAGTTTTAGCAATGTATTCAATTCCCAACAACTCATGAATAGCAGTTTCAATATTAGGAATAGGGAAGGAATTGGATCATATTTTGTGGTTTACTCCTGTTTTGTAATCCCCACATATCCTTAAATCTCCATCCAGTTTTCATAAAATAACATTGGGTGAGGCTTGTCACAGAAGAGAGCTATGGAAGAAGGATGTTCCCATTTAATTTCCCTTGTTATGGGCATTATTACATCCATAATATAATAATAATATAGTTCACAGAAAGAACAGAATAGCTGAAAGGAAAGGAATGACAAACATGCTTTATTCTCAGAGAGACTTTTATACTACTAAGACATACACAAAATTATATATACACATGTCTCATGAAGGGAATAATATATCACATATATCTATACAGAAAAGTAGAGTGTAAGGAGAAACAAAAGGAAGGGTCTTACATATAATATGGAGATACTCCTGTGTCTGGAGGAGTCATGTTTAGGACTCCAGATCCAAACAAGCCAGATTCATCTATGCCCTAGGTGAGGACATATTCCACAAATAGGAAACAGTCAGTCTTCGATTTCTCCAAATTGAGGACAGTGAGCTAGAGTTTCTTTCTATATGTGGAAAAATATATTCCCAAAGGGAAACAGCACCATGGTCTTTGTAAGCTGCTAGGGAGGCAGATTTAGCCTAAGGAAAGCAACCCTACAGTTTAGATGCTGTAAATAAACTGAATTTGACTGCTGATTTTGTCATTATTTGAAGCATTTCTAAGCATCTGTCATGTGACCTATATGATTTATCTCTACCAAAGGGAGATAAGCACCTTCTGTATCCTTAAATACTATAGTATACTTAATCTTTATAATCTCACTACCGTTGTTTTCATAAAACAACAATGAGTGAGGTCTAATTAATCAACCCACAAACAGGGGAGTCTTCATTATGTTTTAAGAATGCAACACACTTTGTGGATTTGATCCAAGGGGAACTCATCCATAACAATTGTATCACAATCTTTGACAAAATGAGCCTTTTTACCAGGCTTCTGATAGAAGAAAAAGACTGATAGACATCATTCTTTGGACAAGAGTTTGATATATACCACAGTTTGTTTACGCATTCACCATTTTCACTACTGTTGGGTAAAAAATAATTTTGAAGAATTGGTTTCAGAAATGGCACCACAAAAGGAAACAGTATGGCTGAATTATGTCAATATCTCAGTAAGCATCTTCATACTCTGGTCTTACCAGGAAGTTGTAGCAATACTACTGGACCATATGAAATAAATAAAACCTTTGATCCAGTTTATGATTGAAGAAGGGTCAGCTATCCCTCCTGGATGTTCTCATAGCAAAGACCGAGATTCAATTCAAGTCATCTATATATTAGAAGACAAACTTCACTGTATAATACCTTAATTTCAGTTTTTTGGTGTGATATACCATAGTAACATTATTGTGTCAGGCTTTGTTAAACTTATTAAAAGTTTGTAAAATAATCAGATGTGAGACTTTTTAAGCAAGTTAACTCTGACTAATGTTTATTTGAAGAATTTCCAGAAGTAAATAACAAATTTATTCATAATGTTTGTACAACACATTTTTCAATGTACAGGAACAAGTACTGACTTCATATACACTGTGGAAAAAAACTTTGCCAGGTATTATCTTCTCTCTTCTTTCTTCTTAACGATTCTTTTACTGTTCTCTTTCCTTAATAAAGTTTTATTTTGCTCATATTCTTACACACTCAGTAACCACTTGCTTAGTGGCTGTATTGCCTTGTTTGAGATTAAATGAGTAAAATGAACATTATTTAGTATAATAATATAATTATTTTTATATATTAGCTGTTATGTTACATTGAACACTGATTTTTTTTACTACCAGTACTCACTGTGTACTATTTTGCTTTTATATTTTGACAGTTAGATAGATAGATATATTAACATAAACAGACTGAGATAGATAAACAGATAGATAGACTAACATAAACAGACTGAGATAGGTAGATAGATAGATGAACATTAACAGACTGTGATAGATAGATGAACATTAACAGACTGTGATAGATACATAGATTGATAGATAAAAATTAACAGGCTGTGATAGATAAATAGATGAACATTAACTGACTGTGATAGATATTAACAGACTGTGATAATTTAGATAAACATTAACAGACTGTGATAGATAGACAAATAGATGAACATTAATAAACTGTGATAGTTACATAGATCAATAGATGAACATTAATAGACTGTTGTAGATAGATAGATTGATAGATAAACATTAACTGACTGTGATAGACAAATAGATGAACATTAACAGACTGTGATAGATAGATAGATAGATAGATAGATAGATAGATAGATAGATAGATGAACATTAACAGACTGCTATAGATAAAAAATAGATGTACATTAACAGACTCTGATAGATACATAGATCGATAGATAAACATTAACACACAGAGATAGATAGATAGATAGATAGATAGATAGATAGATAGATAAACATTAACAGACTGTAATAGATAGGTAGATAGATAGATATATGTGTTGTTGAATCCTTGTCTCTAATGTATATTACCACAAAAGCCTTGGAATATCCTTTTTCAAAAATATATCTACTGCACTTGCCAATATTTGGAATATTAAGCACATAGTTGTAAGTCAATAAAAAGATTTTACATTAGCCAGGCATTGAGAAATATTATTTATCTTATCTTCTCACAAAATTTGATATTTTTTTTGTGGAAATATTCTGAATGTGTAAAACGTTCGGTATATTTATCTATTTTCATAAAGAAAATGAATAATGCAAAAATTATCTTCCCATGACTGCCATCTCTACTCACTCATGAAGATAATATTCTTATAAAATTAGATGGATGATGAATGAGATTAAATCATCAAATTGATCTACATTAACATTTTATTTTAGCACTGAGAATCTGAGTTCCATTGTTAAATTTGGAAGAATCTTAAAGTCAAAAAAAAAAAAATTCATAGCTGTCAGTTGCAATCAGATATTGTTAAAGATGATAAATTTATAAAATTATTTTGTGACCATATTATTATTATAGTTTGGTTTGGTTTGTTTTGTTTTGTTTTGTGGCATATTAACCTCAATGGGTTATTTAATGCTAACAAGATTTTTATTTCTGGTACTATTTTCTTTTTTTCAAATATTTATTGCTGATACTAATATATTTCACAAAGTATTTCTGGCATTAAAATCTATTTTTAGACTTTCATAGTTTTTTGAGTCAGATTGTGGGGTCAACTATTTGCCCATAGCTAGGAGGCTAACAGGTGCTACCACCCCAGTTCAGGGTGGACCTGGGAACACCAGCAATTAAGATGTGGTTCCACACTCCTCAAAAACCCTGATCAGAGGCCTTGCTGTTGGACATAGTTTATCATCTTACCGAGGACACGGATGCAGTTTATTGTCATACCCAGGATGGATTATTATTATAGCAATGGCTTTATTACTCATGTGGATATAATTAACTTTTAGGTAAATGATTTTGTTCCCTGAATAAAAAGTTAGTCTTGCCACTACAGCAGACTATTGATCAAATGTGTATTTAAATTTTGTTGTTGTGATCATTACTCATAGCTCAACTAAAAACAGAGGCAACCACAAGTTATAACAGGCAAATAATGAACAAATAAACAATATTGTTTTGTTTAAAATAACAATAATGTATTTCCACAAAAATAACAATTTTTAGAAAAGGGGGTAAGTGTATTTGTGTATGATAATATATTGTGTATGTTTTCTTGTCAGTGTTTCACAGTTTTGTATAAATTACATGCTGGGCAGCAGCTGTTCAGGGAACAGAAAAATGAGAAAACAGAAAGATATTTTAAAGCTTTAACATGTTCTTAGTCACATGACTATATGTCTAAGGGAGGTAATTCATTTCTCCCATACATATGTTTATTTTAACTTTTATTTTCATTGTTGCTTGAGATTTTGGTTGCTACAGCGTCATGTTCCACTATTGCAACATAAAAAAAATAACCTTGACTGTAATAAAATCGTGGTAACATTGAAAAAGACTACAGTAAAAGAGGAAATAATATTTTTGAATAATACCAATTGCAGACAATTAAAGAAAAAATTCTGGCAAGCATTTTAGTCTTCAAATGTTAAATCTGTAAACATTTCTTTAGAAAATAAATATATAACATTAAAACAATCTTAACCGTAACATAATACTTGATTACTGCAAGAATATATTGATGAAACCTGAGAAAATGAGTAAGATAATTTTAGTGAATAAATTCAACCATATTTTATACTGACAAAATTCAGATTGCATTTACAAATAATTTTATACTTCTATTTTGAGTGAAGTTAAACACCATTGTGTTCCATTCTTCTCTGTCTCCCATGGTCTTCATTGGTTCTCAAACCATCACCATTTCTTAGCTGATTCACTTGTATTATTCAGTTCTATTGTTAAGTGTACGTGCTTAGGCTCGGAAATTTTTAGGAAAATTTTCTTCATGAGTCAGTAGGCAAGGCAGTCATGGATTGATTGATTTATTTTTATGAATTATCAATCTTTTGCTGGTTATTTAAAGCCAGAAATTATTTATAGATTGTAAGATTTGTTTGGAGATAATAATGATTTACTGATACAAGTTCTACGAATTAACCCATAGCTTGGGAGAGAAGAGGTAGATTCATAGCCTCCAATATCTCTCATACAAGCAGGATGTGGCAAGCCTCTCACTGCCTTATCACTATGTATATAGAAAGTGCTCGGATGAACTATATTCCTAGGTTCTGTCATGTCTAATCTTCATGGCTAGGACCCAACATGCCACTTACATTGTCGTAAACAACCCACATTTCCCCCATATTCCAACATTAATTTCCACTTGAGCAGCTTCTTCACATGAACGACTTGTCCGTAGAACAGATTCCCAAGAGAATGCTTCCCCAATCACTACATTCTTAACCAGTTCAAGTCTAAAGTTAACCATTGTCATCCTCTCCTACCCATATAAACTACCCCTTAACATAATCCTTTACCTCAAGTGGCCCCCAGGTCTTGTATAGGGTGAATCTTACTTTAAAAAAAACACTTTTCCAAGGATATTTGTATATTTGGGAATATAAATCAACTGAAAAACTTAGCTCTCCAATTTTAAATTTTGAGCTATTATTCATTACATCACCCCCACATGCAAACTTAACATAATCCTTTTACCTTGAGTGGCCCCCAGGCCTTATTAGGAGTGAATGTTTGTTGTCCTGAAAGGACAGTTTTGTAGATTTTTTTATCTACAAAACTGTCCCTTTTAGGACAACAGGATTTCATTGTCTACAAAACTGTCCTTCTCAGAACAATGCATGTCTCATATTCTACATGAATATGCAGAAATTTTTTGCTTAGTGAACTCTCACCATATTTTGTCAATGTATTTTCTTTAATGACAATAAACTTGACAATATATATTTTTTACTCAAATCTTTGTTTTGTTGTTGTCTTCTGTCATTCAGTATGTGTTTGCAGCCCAATATATCACCTACAACTACACTTTTTAGTTTCCTGTTGAGCTTATTGTTTGTTTTGTGTTCTTTCCATGATACACCAAGTGCAGCCCTAAGCATCCATGTTGATATTCTGTCAAGAGAAACCAATAATTTTAGATATTAAAAATATGAGTCTTTCAAGCACAAAATCAAAGAAGCAATTTAATTTATTGAGAAAAGACATTTTTATGAAGCATCTTTAAATTTTCATTTAACCTTTTTATCAACAATACAGACTATATTTTTTCATGTCAGGTTTTGACATCGGTCCACGTCCACCATGGAAAGGTCCAGATATGAAACCTAAAGATCTTGAAAAGGCATTTTATGCCTTTGTTTATGGTCACAGTCCATCCGCCTCAAAAATGGCCAGATCTGTTTTAGCCATTCGCAGTCATTGGGGAACAGTTTCAAGAAAAAGGAAATCTTACCTGACCAAATCTCTTGACTGGAACCAAACAAAATCTTCCATGGAAAATGATCAACAGCATATATCTGTAAGTATATCAATTCAGTCAACATAAAATAATTATTGATTCAATAAAATCATCCTTCTGATATTTTTTATAAGATTTTATTAAAAGATTTTTTTCGGCAAATTAAATAAAAGCCTTAAATGTAAGATTTATTGATGTTTTATGACCTTGTCAAAGATTTATTTACATTGTTCAGACCTGTTCTTATCTTTATTGCCATATTCACAATGTTTCAGCCAATATACACTCTGACCTTCTTCCAGTAATTGGAATATCAAACTGAACCCTTTATTTTGTCCACTAGGGTAGATTGTTCTAGTTCCACGTACCATGCCTCTTTTGAATGTCTCAGTTATCTCCCTTTAACTCAATTCTTCAAGTTTTGCTTACCAATGATTCATTGAACTTCACTGAAATCGCAATTCTTTGGGTCAACTCACTGGATCCAATCAACGCTTTTATCCACTGGGCTATGTGTCCTTGAGGACATCAGGGTATGATTTTTTGGTACTTATAGTCTTAATGTCTCAGTAATCATTTTTTTTTTTTACTAGAGCTAATATTGCAATTTTTTGTTGTTATTATTGTTTTTCTGCAGCATTCCGTATTACTGGTTCCCGTATTGTATTCCCTGCTATGCTTGGCTACCTGGGGAGATTTTTGTGGCTGATAAGCAAACAGTTTAACTATTTTCCAGTGATGTTCTTTGTCTATTATTTCCACCTCATCCCACAGGATGTGTTGATAACCCTTTTCCCTCCATATGTGGTCAGCTACAAGGCCCAAGAGCCCATCAAGGCAGAAGGTTAAAGTGTGATATTGCGTGAGCATATGAAATGGCAAGACGTGAAGTACATTGAGCTATGCAGGAAAGACAACAGTTAGCCCTAGAATTGAAGTGATTAGGAAAACTTCCAGATGAAAGTCTATTCCACAAAGCAACAGTGAAAGAAACTGTCCAAGTGGAACTTACTTCTTACTAACAGAATGTGAAGGGAATGGAGATGATTCACATTTATGTATGTGGCATGGTGGGTCCCATTTCTAAAGGTTAGGGATGGTGGGTCTCGTTTCTAAAGGTTAGAGCTGGTGGGTCCCACTTCTATAGGTTAGGGCTGGTGGGTCTAAGGATTGCAGCTTATCAGAACACATGCCATGGAATTAGTGATAGAGCAAAAAGAAGCTTACGATGTTTTGCTTGTGAGAAAGGGGTTTTCATTAAGCAAAGATTAATACATCACCCACAATTTACAGAGATACTTTTGATTCTATCAAGACAGGGCAAGTGAGGACTGGAAAGCTCCAGCCTAGATATAGCATCAATACTCCTTTTTTGAACTGATTTGACTTTTGTAAAGATAGTTGTGGCACAGTAGATAACAGCTTGGAACGAGAAATCGGATAGTTGAGTTTGAATTCCAGTCTGGTTCATTACTTTCACTTATGCGCAAATACCTTTGGGAAAGGTATGAATCCAACTTTTCTCCTCCTATAGACAAGACCGGGTCCTATAGATTTGTGTGGCAACCAGTCTACCACAGAA